ACACACAGACTTGGGACCACAGCAGAATGCGGGAATCACAGCAAGGCATTCATTCTAGTGACAAATCCCAGAAATCAGCAGTGTTCTCAGTCTGTGTTCTCAGTCTGTGTTTTTGGCGGGTCATTACATTACTCCCCTCTCGAGAGTGAGGTCCCTTCGAGCGAGTAACTCAGTCAGAGTCGGCGCAGAATGCGTCATAGGAGTACATCAGAAAGAGAGACTTAGTCAATCCATGAGGAGTCATCGTTGCAACGAACTTAGCAGTATGTCCCTCTGCGATCTGTCTTTCGTAAGCGTTCACAACACGGGGAGCATTCTTTAGCAGCTCTTTCTGGTCGATCCAGAAAAATTCAGTCAATGGGTGATAGAGGAAGTGAACTTGTAGTGTCTGTTCTTGCCTCTGCCCTCGTGAGATACGATTCTGTCTATCTCATGGCCGCCATTGATAGGGCGAGGTATCATAGGATCCCGGAAGGGAAAAGTCTCATCATCAATGTGCGGAAACAGTTTGGACGCATGAAAAACTGGATACGTGCGCAGATGAGGAGGCACGTCAATTACAAATGAAGGGCCAAAATCATCCCCGATCACCTTCAGAATCTGCCAAGGGCCATAGTACAAAGGAAGGAGCTTTCGTGATACGCCCTCTTCGTCAGAGAACTCAGACATTTTGACCCAAACATAATCCCCTACTTTGAATTTCTCTTCTTTGCGCATCTTGTTAGCATGTTTGATCATGGCATGCTGGCGCTTGTTCATGGCTGCGATCACAGTTTTTAGCAAGCGTGTGTACTTGGCATTGTAGCCAAGCATCCCGGGCATCAGACCAGGTGACCGTTTGGGGAACAGATAGGAGAGGGGATTGCGCATCGGCCATCCATACTGCAGCTGGTTTGGTGTCACGCCAGTTGCAGAGTGAATGAAATTGTTATACAGTCCCTTTACCTTGTGCAGCTCCTTGTCCCACGTGTTTTGATCCGGAACAATCAATGCGCGAAGTAGTTGGATGACAGTCTGGTTGATCTCCTCAGCCAATCCATTGGCTTTGGGGTGTCGACCAGAAGTCTTGTTCAGTTTAATGTCATAGATCTGTGACGTGAAGTCCTTCCAATCTTTGCTGATGAATCTGGTGTCCCGATCACTCACAATAGTTTTCGGGACGCCAAACTGCAGAATGTACTGCTGATGGAATTCCTCAATGACAAGTTCAGTTGGTGTATGGGGAGGGAAAGGGATCAGATTCAGAAATTTGGAGAAACGATCCACGATGACCATGACCTGTGAATTCCCTGCTGCTCTCACCTTTCCCATGTCCGTGAAGTCGATGGAGATCGATTCACCGGGTCCATCAGGAATGGGGAGGGGTCTCAGCAGGCCATAAGGCTTATGCCTGTGGACTTTGGTTCTCTCACATACCTGACATTCAGCAATAAATTTCTGAGCAGATCCTTTCATCCCTGGCCAATCAAACTGCCGCAGAAGACTTCCATAAGTCTTCTCAAAGCCGAAATGTCCACTCCGACCATGTGCCAGATCCAAGAAATGAGTTCGGAGAGGCGCATGGTTGGGTACACACAAACGATCGAACTTCCCATACCGGCGGAATACAAGACCCTCGCATCCATGAAAATCAGGCTGACTGTTAGGGTCAGCCTTGAGCTGCTCAAGGATGGGACTGAGGTCCGGATCCTTGGCGGTGTGTTCGACCAGATCCTTCTTCAGTTTCCTTCGGGGGTCATACGAACCCACAAGGCAAGTCATAAATTCAGGATGGCGAGACAGCGCATCAGCAACTCGGTTATAACAACCTTTCTTGTGTTTCAATTCAAAGCTATAGACATCAATATCATGCAACCAGCGGGTCAATGTAGGAGAGAGTTCAGATTGTGTCTGAATCCACTGCAAGGTCTGATGATCTGAGTAGACCTTGAAGTGGCGACCCAAGAGGTAGTGCTTCCAATGTGCGAGAGCCTTGCGCAGGGCGTAGAGCTCGCGCATATATGTGGAAGTGGCTACATTGTGGCTGGGCATGCGTTTGCTGTAGTACTCGAGCGGACGCAGGCCATCACCATCATCTTGCTGCAGCACAACACCAATCCCGAATTGGCTCGCATCCGTAGTGACTACGAAAGTGAGGTTGGGATCGGCAATGCGAAGCACAGGATGACTCAACAATGCCTCTTTCAAGGCTTGGAATGCAGTCTCACACTTCTCACACCATGCATAGGCAAAATTCTTGCTGGTTAGTCTTGAGAGGGTGTGAGCAATGACAAAGAATTTGGGCACAAACTTCCGGTAATATGAGGCCAAACCAAGGAAAGAACGCAGTTCGTGTACGTTTGCCGGTTGAGGCCAGTTTCGGATGACCTCAACCTTGGTTGCCTCCGGCGCAAGGCCGTTTGCGGACAACCGATGCCCAAGATAGATGACGCTGTCCCTCCCAAACTCAGATTTCTCCAAGTTGAGGTGCAGCGGCGCCTCCTTGAGGACCTGCAAAACTTCCTCAAGGTGCTTGAGATGCTCTTCCATGGTTTTGCTGAAGATCAGGATATCGTCAAGGTACACAACCACAAACCTGTTGAGTTGATGGCGAAGTACCTTGTCCATGAGGCACTGGAATGTGGCCGGTGTATTCGTAAGACCGAAGGGCATAGCGATGAACTCGTACAGCCCGTCGCGTGTCTTGAATGCTGTCTTGTGCTGGTCACTTGGATCAACTTCAATCTGGTGGTAGCCAGATTTGAGGTCGATCTTGATGAAGACCTTGCACCCATCTGCTGCATCTAACATATCATCTATGCGAGGCAAAGGGTAAGCATTCTTCCTTGTGATCCGACTGAGGCCACAATAGTCAATACACATCCGGAGTTTGCCTCCTTTCTTTGACACAAACAGGACAGGTGCACCGAATTCAGACTCACTGGGCCTAATCCATCCATGGTAAATCATATCATCAATCTGTCGTCTCAACTCCTCCAATTCGCCTTGTCCCATACGGTAGACGCAACCCTTTGGAGGAACACTCCCCTCTATTATCTCGATTTTGTGTTTGACCGGACGCTCGGGAACTCCACGAGGTTCAGCCAAGACTTCAGGGAATCGATCTAATAGTTGGCGAATGTTTGTTGGGACTTCCGGTGGAGGATCATCCTTATCAGGAGATAGAAAATTAGACTGAGAATTTACAGCAATGACAACCGGATTAGAAGTACTTGGATCAGAAGTAGAAGGATTATTCACAGAAGAAGTAGATGGATTAGAAGTAGAGTTACTTACCGAGGTAGAAAATGCAGCAAAAGTAGAAGGCACATGGATAGGCTTTACAAAAGTTACATGTACATGCTCAATCTCCTTGTGCCTGCGCACTGATTTGCAGAATTTGATTGCACTTAGAAGAGTCACAGGGGACTCGCGCGTCTCATTCAACAGGACGGTACGCTTGTTCCCCTTGGCGTCACGCACCACGAACTGGTTGTCCGCCCACGTGGTCCTTAGGCAATGAGCCTTCAACCAGCCCAAGCCAATGACCGCGTCGAACGGACACTTGTCCATAACATAGAAGTTGAGTTCATGTGTGACAGTGCGGTCCTTGTCAAAGGTGACGCGCACACCTTTGACAGCATGTGTAGATGTGACAACCTCTTAGTTGCCCACCTGGATCTGACAAGGGTTCTGCAGTTCCACTTGCTTCATTCCCAGGCCCGCCTTACGAATCCCGTTAGGAGAAAAGAAATTAGTGGTTGAACCACTGTCAATCAGCACGCGGATGTATCGGCGGTTGATGAGTAGTTTAAAGAAGGTCAGTTCCACACTCCCTTGAATAAGGCGTTGCTGCTTGAGTTGCAGCCAATGTTCCATGTGAGCGTGGAAGTCAACTTCCTTAGACTCCTCCCAAGGCTCAGTGTACAGCAAATGAACTGCAACAGCCTTGGAATCAGCGTCATTCCGGGCTCCAAGAGGGGGCTGTTGATCAGATTCAGGCTCATTAGAGAGGCTTGCAACTGATGTTCCAGCTTCCCTTGTTGTAGGGAGTGCTGATGACTCCTCTACGCTCTTTGCTTGTTTCCCTGAAGTCTGTAACAGTCCTGCACAGCATGCCCAGACTTCTGACAATGCAGGCATATGCGCAGTTTAGATCTTCTTTCCCATTCCTTTTGACTGATACGGACGGCCTCCAAAGGCTTGGTTGATGCATCCTCCGGTTTCTCCGGGATCTTTGCGTTCTTGGGGAGGTGGACAATAGTTCCCTTACCTGAACCACGGTTAGGCCCCTTGTTTGAAGCAGTCTTTCGAAAAGCAGTAAGTTTTTCATCTTCGTTGACGTCAGACTCAATGGCTGATGTGGAACAGCCCATATCGGAGTCCGGCTCTAGATCGTCATCTAGAGACAGATCATCCGCATAGGACTGATCTTCAGCCTCCCGATGATCATGCAGTGCAAGCTGGTTGCTGCTTCCAAACCGCTTGCGTTGTGGTTTCCCACCTGCAGCGGGCGCCTTCTTCCGCCTGGTGAGGTCCTTGGCCTCTAGGTTGACTAGATCCATCATGAGCTCTCGCCAGGTGGTATGATCTTTGAGTGCCAACAGGGAGAGGTATTCTTTGGGGGCCACTCCCATGACTACATCCATACAAGACACATTGGTCATACCCGGATCCGGAGTTGTGAACAAACCAGTCAAGTGTTGTTCCAAACCTTGCATGGAGGACCTCCATGTCTGACCCTTGAGGGCCTCAAGCTTCAGCCTAGCCTTGAGCGCAACATGCTTGTCTTGGTACCGTGCGACGAGAAGGTCCTCAAGGGCGCGTACAGGGGTGACCTTCAGCCATTCAGTCAAGTCTATGCGTTCATAGCCTGCAGCAACAGCTTGGAGCTCAATGTGGTTTCGTACGGTGGGCTTAGTATTAGTCCCCATGATCATACTTCGGTCCTCTTGCGGTGTCCTTATGACCTCGAAGTACGACCGCGTGGAACTAATCCAAGAGGTGATGTCTGCCTTCCGGTCGTACTTGGACGGCAGCGTGGCCGCCCACTTGTCCACCATGGGACCGCTGTACTGAACGCCAGTAAGGACTGTGGCGTTTTGGGCTGATGTCCCTTCATTTGGGACCATGACCAGCGCAGAACTGCCGGTGTTGTCGCTCGAGGAGCTGGCGCCGGTTCCTGCGCTTGCCACAGTTCCGCTTGCGCTTATCGCGAGGACTGTGTTAGTTTGAGAGACCAGGACTGCAGCAGGTCGAGAGTTAGGAGGGTGGAGGGCAGACAATTGGGACTGTTTGAGGCTGATTATCTCAGCCTGCAGCTCTTGGTTCCGCTGTTCCAACGCTGTTACACGGGACTCAAGATCCTCCAAGTTCCGCAGTTGAACCAAGGCTGCTACGGCAACAGCTAGCCTCTCCTGGAACCGGTCAGCATTGGCTTTCGGGACCTGTAGAAGGGCCACCTGAGCAGCTATGCTTGTAGCCCTGGCTGCTGCCTCTGCCTCCCTCTCCCTCTGTACGGCGTCGTCATACAATTTTTGAAAGAACGGTTTCTGGCTCTCGTCCGCTGCGTCCGGCATGGCCTGCCATTGGGCAGATGTGATGTTAGCCATGTCGGAGGAAGGGGTGTCAGTAGATCTCTCAAGAGGGGTCCGCTCTCTCCTTACGTTTGGACGAACACTCCTCTTGCCCCTCCTCACTCTCAAACAGAACACCTTCTCTCTCCCTTTCTTCTCTTCTCGCTGTCTGCGCATGCGTCTCGATACCGGACATAGATAGTTCAGATGAAAGAAACAATCAGAAAGTTCACACAGAGAAGAAGGTAGAACTCCTAGTCGGAGCGGCAATTCATTTGGACTCAGGGAATGGCACGCAGCGGAAATAAATAAATAACTAAAAAAAACAAAAAACAACGGAAGAGAGGACTGACTTATAGAACGGGCCCGATCAGATCAGCTGGAGATCCCCTCTTGTCTAACCTGACAAGGGACATGCATCACAGTAAGTCAGCCGAAGAAAACTAACTGCAGCAATGGAGATTTCGAGGGGTGCAGACGGTCACCGAGTAAGACGCGGGGCAGTATGTGATAACAGGCGGTAAGACCAGTCAAGATCCCCTTGAAAGGAATGCCCTTGCTAGCCATATGTCCCCCAAGTTCAGCGCAGCAAAGAAATGCACAGGCGGCAACAGATTTGGGCCCAAAAGGTCCTGTCCCGTTGGGCCTGGTCCCACTGGGTCCCGAGGGGTCCCAAGTAGGTCGTGGACCAAGACCAACGTGACAGGGGTACCAAGTCGGTCCCAATCTGCCTCTACCGTACTGAAAAGGAAAAGACAACTTTCAGCAAGAACTTACCCCTACAGCCGTTCAGAAATGAAAAGACAATGCACCGTAGAAAGATGTGTCATTTGGAATAGATACATCATCCATCCATCCATCAGGTGAGAAAGGAATCCACATGCTCACACACACAACCAAGACCGCAGAGAAGAGGGAGAGAGCCCAGCACACCCCCAACAGGCCATGAAGTACCAAGCAACCTCCCACGGGCATACCCAGGTCACACGGCACTTACCTGTGAGGCCCGGCCTCCAAAGATGGATAACGAGTCACCCCCCTCTCTCATAAGTCCTCCTGACCCCTAGCTACCACTACACGAAGTCTCCTAGCATGACTAAGAGGGCCTTCCTACACCCCTATTGCAAAGCCGGATCCCCCGTCAATGTCTGAAGACCAAAGTAGCAACTTGCAGCAATCCGATGCAGATATGGCAGCCTCCGATCAAGTCTCCCTCTTGAGGGGAAGCCCAAAAGTCACTCAATGTCTTCTTGAAGTCCAGATTCCAGGTGCGAGTACCTCTCACTCTCTACTCCCTCTCGCTTACTCCAATCAGCCTCCTTTGTGTCTCGCCACCCCATCCATTCACTCAGTCAACCTGGTCAGGTCAAATGTCGACCCTACATGACCTAACCAGGTGGGGGCAGTATCCACATACCTCACTGCCCCACTTAAGCCTAACTTCCAACCCTAATCCGAAGTTAGGTTAGCCCTGACCTAATTCGGAAGTAGGTTTAGGGTGACTAACACCTCTCGCCGGCAAGTAAGTCCGCTCCGATACCAATTGTTACGATTCTGGTCATTTCCCAAGTGCAAATTCACAATGAAAGACAATGCCACCCAATTGCGAAAGAAATGAAAGCACTGGCAAAGAGATAAAGACCAGAGGAGAGGTAAAGAAGAAGAAGAAGAAGAAGAAGAAGAAGAAGAAGAAGAAGAAGAAGAAGAAGTACACCAGCAAGACCAATGACAATTCCCCCTTCTCTCTCCACCTTCCTCCTCCTCCTTCTCTTCACCAATCTTATTCTTCTCTCAATAATAATAATAACAATGAATGGATGAACCAGCATCAATATCCGAAGTTCCCTCTTACTGCTGACTCAACTCAACAACAACATCAACAACAACAACCAGTCCACCATAGCTATGGCCTCCCTCCTTCAGCCTCCTCTCTCATGCATAGGCTATGGCGGACTACTCTAAGCAGCTAGGGTGCTGCATTGATGTCCAAAGGACAACGCACAGCAGCTATGCCGCTGCTGGCTTGGTCCGCTATGCCTGACTCTGCCTCGAGCTTCCCTGGTGCCGCACTACCCCAACTGGGGCCTTCCAGATGCAGCGCCCAACAAGGTGATGAAGATGGTGTCTTCCATAGCCAGGTAAG